TCCAAATACGTTAATTGAGGAGTTAATGGTTGTAGGTTGCTGCCAGCGTCCTAGGTATCAACCAAGTACCTTCTTGATGTCGAGGTTCCAAGTAGGCAGTTTTTTATTTTTTATTATTATTTCATTTTGGGAGCATAATTAAATTTTGGCTTTTTCCAGGTTAGTGAGAATTCGCCTGTAGTTCAAGGCTGTTGTTCTTATTACCAGGAGAGCTCGTATTGGATCAGCATGAAATATAAGCTGTTTTCCATGATGGGGTTTTTTACCCCGATCCCTGCTTTTTTTGTTTTTGGGGTTTTTTTTTTTAAAAAACCATAGAGTCTCTTAGCTACGTAAAAATGTCCTAGTTCATTGTGGCTACTTCAAAATAGACCTGGGCAGGGCTGGCATTCACTTACCTTCGCTACCGGTTCGCAAACGTGAGCCCGCGTGCACGGAGGGTAAAAACGGGACGTGGGCGGAGCTTCCCGCAGCCGCCGCTACCGGTTCGTGGATAAAACCGGCTGAAACCCACCACTGGACCTGGGGTTACCCTAGCCACTACAACATGACACCTCAACACTAGATTTACCTGTCCAGCCTTGTCCAATATTACCTCCTCTTTTCCTTAATGCTTAGTCATATCTTCAGAAGGATCCCATTACCTTTGAAAAAATTGAAAGAAATCTCTTGGTAAACAGAGAGCAAACCCTATTCCCTTCTATCACCTGATGATGTTACGTAGCTGGGTAATGAAAAATCTGCAGGAAAACAGCCAAACTCCTCTTCTTTCCTCCTCCTCCTCCTCTTTACACCTCTCCCTCCCTTCTAGGACTGACGGTGTCACCTAATTGCATAATGAAACCTCTGCAAGAAAACAGCCAAGTTGGGTAATGAAAAATCTGCAGGAAAACTGCCAAACTCAGAGAGCACCAAGGACCCCGCAGTTGTCTTCCTCCTTTCCTCCTCCTCCTCCTCCTCTCTACACCTCTCCCTCCCTTCTAGGACTGACGGTGTCACCTAACTGCATAATGAAACCTCTGCAAGAAAACAGCCAAGCTCAGAGAGCACCAAGGACCCCACAGTTCAACCGTGAGCTACAAACATTCTCTTCCAAATGGCACGTCGATAGCATTTATCTCTATGGGCCTGTCGATGGCTGGCTTGTCAGGAATGCCAAGCTTGCAGGCTTCCCCTAGCATTTTTGGATTTGGCTTGGTTTGCAATGTCAACAGTCTCCCCCCCACCCCCCACCCCCCACTGATACGGCGATTGAATTTCTCTCTGTGTTGAGAGCCTAATGAAATTTCAATAACGGCAATCATCCTTTTCGTTGGGCCAGCATTGGGTGCCCTCCAATGGTTAACCTTGAGATCCTAAAGGGTTGTGCCGGTGGATGAATGCTGGTCTACTGACCAAATCCGCATTTTTCCCTATCTCATCCCCCCCCCCCCCCGAAAGGAAAGCAGAGGCATGAGAACAATCATCTAGCTATTGCTCAAGAGGAGCAGATCCGGAAATATAAGGACGGTGATGGATAGCATCTTCTCTACGTTGTCTTTAATGTTGGTGATGCGGGAGAAAAACGGTCCGTCCTCTGGAGTTCTGAAGCCCCGAGTCAAAAGGAGCAATCGAGGATGTCAGCCCAAATATACATCCCTGCTAAAGAGCCGACATAATAACGCTGCGGACGGACGATGGAGACTTTACTTTATTTCAATTTATTTTACAACCCGAGGGGAGGAACTGAGGTGGAACCAGAGCAGTCGTGTTGCATCAAAGAATCGCTTTTAACCCCGTTAAACGAGACATGGCTTAGGATTTTGAGGCAGACCCAGCTGAGAACACACAGTGTCTTGAACGGGTGGCATTGGTGGTGTGTCTTACTTTTAAAATGAGCCTTGATGGTACAGTGGTCTGAGCACCCTGTTATTAACACAGCTGCCTGCAATTTCTGCTGGTTCGAATCTCTCCAAGGCTCAAGGTTGACTCAGCCTTCCATCCTTTCTAAGGTAGGTAAATTGAGGACCCAGTTTGTGGGGGCAATAAGCTGACTTTGTATAAAATATACAAAAGGATGAAGGCTATTGCTTAACGCACTGTAAGCTGCCCTGAGTCTCCGGAGAAGGGCGGCATATAAATCAAATTAAATAATAATAATAATAATAATCCGGAGTGGAAGCTCCAGATTTCACGCCAAAGGTTTTCTTAAAGGTGGTTTTTTTTTTTCCTCTCTTCAAAAGGCAACTGGACTGTTTTTTTCCTTGACGAAGAAGAAGAAAACATTTCGCTTCTCATCCAAAAAGCTGTCAGATTCCAAGTGAATACACCCATAGCAAACAAAACCCCAAGGCAGGTAGATTCCTCGAAGAATAGTTTTATTGGATGTACCATGGTTTATTGGATATTCCCACAGTTTTCACCTAATTAAAAGTTTTTCCCCTTCCCCAAACAATAAGTCACATGGTCCAATCTCTCTCTTTCTGTCTCTGTCTCTCTCTCTGTCTCTCTGTCTCTCTCTGTCTCTCCTCTCCCCCCTCTCTCTCTGTTTGTCTCTCTCTCTCCCTCTCTCCTCTCTCTCTCTCTCTCTTCCTCCCCCTCCCTCTTCCTCCCCTCTCTCTGTCTCTCTCTCTCTGTCTCTGTCTCTCCCCTCCCTCCCTCTCTGTCTCTGTCTCTTTCTCTGTATGTGTCTCCTCTCTCTCTTCTCTCTCTGTCTCCCCCTCTCTCTGTCTCTCTCTCTCTGTCTGTCTCTCCCTCTCTCCCTGTCTGTCTCTCTCTCTGTATGTGTCTGTCTCTGTCTCTCTCTCTCTGTCTCTGTCTCTCCCTCTCCCTCTCTCTCTGTCTCTCCCTCTCTCTGTCTCTTTGTCTCTCTATCTCTCTGTCTCTCTCTGTCACTGTCTCTCTCTGTGTCTCTCCTCTCTCTCCCCCTCTCTCTCTGTCTATTTGTCTCTCTCTCTCTGTCCTCTCCCTCTCCCCCTCTCTCTCTTCCTCTCCTTCTCCCTCACCCTCCCTCTCCTTCTCCCCATCTCTCTGTCTCTCTGTCTCTGTCTCTCCCTCTCTCCCTTGTCTTCTCCTCTCTGTATGTGTCTGTCTCTGTCTCTTCTCTCTCTGTCTCTGTCTCTCCCTCTCCCTCTCTCTCTGACTCTGTCTGTCCTGTCTCTCTCTTTGTCTCTCCTTCCCCCCCAACTCCCCCCTCTCTTTTCTCTCTCTCTCCCTCTCCCCCCCTCAATACTGGAACATTACCACCATGTCTCCCCTGATCCTTCTCTTCACTAGACTAGTGATGCCAAGTACTTGTTCATCGTTATTTTTAAGCCTCCAGTCCCCTCATCATCTTGGTTGCTCTTCTCTGCACTTTTAGAGTGCTCGACATCTTTTTTTACAGTGTGGTGACCAAATCTGGATATTCTAGATAAAGGATATTGAAATGAATGCTAACTGGAGTCCGCACCTTGGTATAGAGCAACGTTGGCGAAACATTTCGGCACCGAGTGCCAAAATGGGAGGGCTCACACGCGCTGCAGCACCAAAAAAACGGAAGATCGTTCCCTGGCGTGCATGCATGCGCCGGAAAGCTGAGCTTCTGGTTTCTGGCACGTGTGCGCTCGAAGACCAGGTGGCCTGCACACATGCACACACCGGAAACTGGAAGTTCAGCTTCTCGGCGCGCACATGCACGCCAGGGAGCTGCTCTTTCGGTTTCTGGCACTCCTGCGTGCGCAAAGACCAACTGGCCTGCCGCACATGTGCATGCCAGAACCCAGAACAGCAACGGGCTACAGCTGGCGTGCCTGGAGAGATGGCTGTGCGTACCACTGCCGCCGGCACGCGTGCCATAGGTTCACCGTCACGGGTATAGAGTAATTCCCCCTTCCTGAAAACCTAATAACAAGCAGAATTTCTCAGGAGGCTAAAGCTTGTGGCTGCTGCCTAGTTTCAGTTATCCTTATATGCAGTTCGTTATTCTGTTCCTAGTCCTTTTAACTCTGAATTGTGAAGATCCATAAAGCCATTGTAAACAAAAAACGAAACTGCCTTGGAGTTTGCCACTCTGTTGGCTGTCAATCTGTTTTAAATGAAGGAGCAGCTGGTAACTCTTCGGCTTCTGGATTATCATGAGAATCCCATAATGCTTGTTTATCGATGAATTGTGAGCATGGCTATCTAAAAAATGTAGAGAAGTCTTCCTTTGGTAAACATTTGTGTTTCATGCTCCATCAGAACCAGTCTACTGAGCTGAATGTACCAGCTGCTTTGTAATAATCCACACGCAAACACGCATGGAGTAGTTTTCCCTCCTGCAGTTGTGGGTGCTCCGTGGCCGGAGGTTTTCAAAAATAAACCCAACCACCATTTGACTAGATCGATATCAGGGCTCCTGTAGGAGTGCTGCGGTGGCCTAGAGGCTGTGAGTTCGATCCTAGGTAGAGGCCGATATTTCTCTCTCTGGGCACAATGAGAATATATCTGCTGAATATAACTCCACACTGGCGACAGGAAAGGCATCCGGCCAGGAAACACTCAGCTCCATTCAGTTGCCCAGACTCCATCCCGCAAGGGATTACGGGGTTGTTAAATGAAGATGATCTACAGGTAGGTAGTCCTTGATTTACAATGGTTCATTTAGTGACCGTTCGGAGGAGTGGTGCGGTGGCCTAGAGGTGGAACTTTTGCCTCATAATCGGGGGGGCTGTGAGTTCGATCCTACGTAGAGGCAGCTATTTCTCTCTCTGGGCACACTAGAATATATCTGCTGAACAAAACTCCGCACTGGCAACAAGAAGGGCATCCGGTCATTAAATCACTCTGCTAGCTCCATTCAGTTGCCCAGGCTCCACCCCGCAAGGGATATGGGGGTGGTTCAATGAAGATGATATCAAGGCTCCTGCCTTTAATAGTAGGTTAGAGTAGAAGATCTCCTCCAGCCCAATGATTCTGTGATCTATGATGGAAAAAGAGGCTGGTTGTGTAAAGCACCATTACGAATGTTTGCTCATAACTTCTCTTGTTTCCATTTTTAGGGACTTCCAACCTGCAGGAGAATCTGCCACCAAAACCAATCATCGGCGAGCGGCCACCCACTTCCCCAGGCTGTCTCGGAACCACCCCAGAGAATCCCGCAATCCGGAACCTCAAAGTGGTGACCTTTGACCTGTGACCCCTGCAAGGACCACATCCTGTAGGCAGCCATTGAGTTTGTCCTGAGGATCCAAGTCTGTGAGACTACAAGAAGCGGTCAAGAACAATGGCATTGAAGTGATCCCCCGAAAAGATACCGCCCTGTCGAAAGATCCATCACCCAATTGAACAAAACAGAGATGGTCCAATCGCAATCCTTTCCCAAAACAGTGAAGGATCTTTTTTGCCCTAGAGCAGCGCTTTCTGCTCTAAGTTGTCTGGACTGCAACTCCCAGAATTCCCCAGCCAGCCATTTCTCATGTAGGCTGGGAGACTCTGGGAGGTGAAGTTCACACATTTTTAAATTTTTTTTTTTCAAGGTTGAAAAACACAGCGAGAGGAGGAGAGAGAAAGAAGGAAGGAAAGGAAGGAAGGAAGGAAAAATCAAAGGAAGAAAAAGAAGGAAGGAAGGAAGGAAGGAAGGAAAAATCAAAGGAAGGAAGAAAAGAAGAAGAAGGAAGGAAGGAAAGAAGAAAGAAGGAAGAAAGAAAAAGAAAGAAAGAAAAAGAAAGAAGCAAAGAAAGAGGAACAAAGGAAAAATCAAAGGAAGGAAGGAAAAAAAGAAGGAAGGAAAAAAGGAAGGAAGGAAGGAAATAAAGGGGAAAAAGAAAGAAGCAAAGAAAGAAAGGAACAAAGGAAAAATCAAAGGAAGGAAGGGAAAAAAGGAAAGAAGGAAGAAGGAAGAAAAAAAGGGAAAAAAGAAAAAGGAAGGATGGATGGACAGAAGAAGGAAGGGAGGAGGAAGAAAGAAAGAAAGAAAGAGAAAGAAAAAGAAAGAAAGAAAGAAAGAAAGAAAGAAAGAAAGAAAGAAAGAACGTTTCCGTTTCCTTTGATTAAGCCATAGGCACCACGGCTTCTCTTTTCATCTGTGAGAATTTTTATAGCTCTTACGGTGATAGTTTCCATTGCAGCCAGAATTGCTCTCCTCGCCTTCCAGATTCCTCAGAACGACATTTCCCACAACTGTACTTATAGTGAGCATTATCAAACTGTTTATTTTAAGCCATCCCTCCCCTCCCCATCTTCCCTGCTCTCCTTTGTTTTTGCTCGCTTTATTTTCTCCCAAACTGGAGCAGTAAGAAGCAACAGGAGGACAGTTTTCATCTCTCTCTGCCATTCATCCCCCGCCTCCCTCCGTCCCCGATCTTGTAAGGCCCAAAACTACCAATCCATTGATGAATCATCCTGCTTTGATGTTAAGGCACTTTGACGTTCATCGGTTCGTTTGAAGTGGAATTATTAACGATGAGCCTGGCAAGGGCGGGAGAAAGCTTCCCGAGCCGAAACTTTCCACCTGTTTGCCTGAACTTCCACGATATATATATATATATGTTTTTCCTCTAGCCAGGTTTTCCCTACATAACCAAGGTTTTTCTGCAGCCCCAGCTCAGTAGAATCACATCCACTCGATTCTGGGCTTTTTTCCTTTCTAGCAGCCAGCAAGCTCTTCCTGCTAGGTGGGAGACCTATATAAGATCTATTTCCAGCTCGTTTGCTTTCATCAGTAGGCCACACCCACATCTTATGTATCCTCCCTGTAAAGGTATAGTACTATTTTTCTCATCTGAAAATCGGATGAGAAGCAAAACGTCTTCAAAGAAAAAAGCCAGAACGACCATTTGCCTCTTGCAAATAAAATTAAAAAAAAGCACTTTTCGGACGACCCGTGATCTGGAGGACTGAGAATTTCCCTAGACATTTCCCAGTGAGAAGCATTTCTGCACCAATGGTGAAATGTAAAATTTGTTGCTACCGGTTCTGTGGAAGTGGCTTGGGGGGGGGTGTCATGTGACTGGGTGGGTGTGGCTAACTTTTTAAAAAAACTTTTTCAAGCATTTTTTTTACTACCGGTTCGGGCGAATAGGTAGTAAAAAATGCTTTAAAAAGGTTTTTTAAAAAGGTTCCGACGATCACAGCTATACCACACGATCATCGGAACCTTTTCTTTTACTTTTTTAAAGCATTGTTTTACTACCTATTCGCCCGAACCGGTAGTAAAAAAAATGCTTTAAAAAAGTTAAAAAAAAAAAGTTCCAATGATCGCGCAGCACAACTAATTGACAATCAGCTGTGCCACACGATCGTCGGAGCCTCTTTTTTTTTACTTTTTAAAGCATTTTTTTTTAGTACCGGTTTGCCCGAACTGGTAGTTTTTATCACGTACCGGCTTGCCCGAACCGGAGCGAACCGGTAGCATTTCACCCTTGATTTCCACCCAGCTAGTTGTTTTCGCTCTCCTTGTTTTCCAAATAATAAAAAGATTCATGAACGTTTTGAGCAAGCTGGTAGGTTGACTCAGCACTTTTGGGGGGAATTAGACCCACGTCTGAATTGGCACTATTCAGTGAGATTTGAGTGTGGGAAAAAAGGAGACGAGGAACTCACGTCTTGGTGCCGATTGCACTGGCCTGGTGGTGGACCATCTCTCACCACCCTGTAGCTGAAATGGAGATGAGTCAGGTGCTCAGCAAGTGAGTCGTTTTGAACTGGGGTGTATAATGAAATTCTATCTTTGTACTCTTTATCTCTCCCCGCTTCCTGATTTTTTTTCCCCCAAACGGTAAGACCTGGCAGGCAGGGAGGTCTTTTGATCAGAAGCTTCCGCCCAGGACTTTCGCTTAGTCAAATCCTAGATCAAAAGGAAGTTGGAGAAAGCAGTCATGGGAGTCAGCCAGAATTTGACTCAGGAACGTAGAAGAGGTTACTTTGAAGGTGTGAGGCTATCAAGAATGTCTTTTTTTAAAAAGAAAGAAAGAAAAATGTGACCAATGAGGCATTAGCCAAAATCGCATTAAAGAGACGGCGTTCTCTTAGAACTTGCATGCCGAGAATGAGGAATGGGAAAAAGCTGCTTTAAAGAAAATATATCACCTGCTCCCAAGCCATCAAATTTGCCTTCTTTAGCTCCTTGGAGGTTCCTAACTTTTTGAGGTGACAAGATTGTATTGAGGAAAGCCTCTCGGAAGGGCAAAAATGGCCTCCCCAGGCTCCGGAGGCCCTCTGGAGGCCAGAAACTGGTGCACCCTGCACTTACCTGCATCCATGAGATTGTATTGAGGAAAGCCTCCGGAAGGGCAAAATGGCCTCCCCAGGCTCCGGAGGCCCTCTGGAGGCCAGAAACTGGTGCACCCTGCACTTACCTGCATCCATGAGATTGTATTGAGGAAAGCCTCCGGAAGGGCAAAAATGGCCTCCCCAGGCTCCGGAGGCCCTCTGGAGGCCAGAAACTGGTGCACCCTGCACTTACCTGCATCCAAAACAGGCCGCGTGGGGATTCCTGGGAGGGGTGGGGTGGGTGGGGCGGAGCCAGCCAGGAGTGGGATTTGGGGTTCTCTGAACTGCACAGAATCTTAACTAGAAATTCTCCCGAACCCCCAGCAGCCCACCCCTGAATGTATCTCTTCTTCTAACAAGGCAGGACTATTGATAGGGATCTATACCATAGAGGAGGGATTTCATAGCGTGCCTAGAGCGGCTTGGCTGCTGCTTGGCCATAAGTAGCTGTTTCATTCAATCCTTCCCCGGACTCCTAGCCCAAAAGGTGCCATTGCGTTGTGCGAATTCAAGCTTTGGAGCTGCATCCCATGGATTACAACTGGACTTAAGCCGTGGAGAGATCATGAGAATTCGATGCTTCAGAGGCTTTTGGTGTGTGTGTATATTACATTTCTATCCCTCCGTCCTGAAAACACAACCTCTAAACCAGTATTTCTCAAGCGTGGCAACTTGAAAAGTCACGGAACTTCAATTCCCAGAATTCCCCTGCCAGCTGAGCTGGCGGGGGAATTCTGGAAGTCCACATCTCTTCAGGTTGCTAAAGTTGAGAAAAATCAGAGTATGCTAGAACCGTGATGGCGAATTTATGGCACGCGTGTGCCTCTGAGGTGGAACACAGAGCCCTCTCTATGGGCACGTGTGCCATCACCCGCTGCTCTTCTGGTTTCCAGCTCACGCACCTCACTCACCTGGTCTTTCCAGCTCACTCACCTGGTTTCTGGCTCTCCGGCACGTGCGCGCATTCCGGTTTGGGCACTCGGTGCCGAAAAGTTTCGCCATTACTGCTCTAGAATAAGGCAGCCACACCCTGGATGTCTTATCTAATTTTCTTTAACGAGTATTTAAAAAAAACCCAGGTGAACAAAAATCAAAAGTAAAAAAAAATAACTTCTTTTTGGGAAGCGAGGCATGAATTATTTTTTCTTCTCAACTTCCAAATCGTACCCGGAATATATATATATATATATATATATTATCAATTCCTCTTTTTCTTACTAGGTATCTGAGTATCTTTTTCTTACTTGGTATCTGACGTGCTCCAAATCCTTCCCCCACCCCCCCGCATAAGGACTTTCAGTGCATTTATTCAACTCTTAGCTCCCCATTACCGAGAACCCAAATTCTAAATTTGTCTCTTCTGCGGGCTTAACAAATCACACCTCATTGGAGAAGATTAGCAAATTTTCTAAGCCGCTCCTATTCACACAGGAGGTTTGGCAAAGTAATGGCAGAGTCAACGCCTTGTCACGGGTTTTCAAAAGAGCCGGCCCGGTTGTAAAAAAAAACACATTGATGGGAGTTTAATGTGGCCAGCGGTCAAAGAGATAAGACCACCCCGGCAGTAAATTTTAAATTTGACTGGGTTGCAGAGCAAGCCCATATGCATAGGGTTCAGCCTGTGGTCCTGACATGCATACTTCATCGCATAAGGAAGAGGTGTTTGGTTGTTAGCTGTCAGGATGAAATGAATAGGCGGCTATTAAAAGGCAGTGTTGACTGGACCGCTCACAGCAGCGGTAATGAATGGGGACGTGGACTGTGCAAACATCTCAGTCGGCAATGAGAAATTACTTGTCGAGTTGTATTAATGAGGAGGAAAGCGGTACCTGCGTAGAGAGATTCCAGGTCTGAAAAAAACAGGGGTCAGAGCTAGACGTAACGGTGCGAGAATGTGCTTCGGCGCAATAAAAGATGGCAGCCATCCAGGGGAGAAATCTATTTACCTTCCTTACCGGTTTGGAAGTGCATGCTGTGCACATGCACAAAACTTTCTGCACATGCGCAGAGGGTAAAAAACACATTACTTCCTGGTTAAAACCGGCAGATGGGCAGAGCCTCGCACTGCCGTCGCTACCGGTTCTCCGAACCACCAGCCACGATCGCTACCGGTTCGGCTGAACCGGACCGAACCAGGAGCATTTCACCCCTGGAGCCATCCCATTTCTTGCTTAGTCTTTTCGCTTGACCTTCCCCTAGCTCAGGGGTCTCCAACCTTGGGCACTTTAAGACCTGTGGACTTCAACTCCCAGAATTCCTCAGCCAGCTGAGGAATTCTGGGAGTTGAAGTCCACAGGTCTTAAAGTGCCCAAGGTTGGAAACTTGGAGACCCCTGCTAGCTGAATGCCTTCTGATATAGTAGACGTGGTTGATTGGCTAGGAATTTGAGGTTCCCCATTTGTAGCTTGGTTCCTGGTGGAGAGGGCGAAATAATGGTCTCTCGTTCTTCATCGGGAACGTTTTCCTCAGTTCTGCGGCTCGCTTGATTTTGTTTCCTCGGCATCTCTGAGGGAAAGAGACCCCTTCCATATTGGAAGTTTACGGGGAAAACTGAGGCGTAATCTTTCCCCCCCCCTCACCCCCCCCAAAAAAAGAGATTAATAAAATTAAGAACGGTCCATTCCTTGAATTGTTATGAATTCAATGTCATGAAAGGAAGTAGACCTGTGGGTCTGAACATTTAAAGCAGTGCGGCGGAGAAAAACAGATTCCGTGATGTTGTTCTAGATGGGGGGGGGAGGTCCTCCAAACTTGGCAACTTTAAGACTTGTGGACTTCAACTCCCAGAATTCCCCAACAAGCATGGCCGGTTGAGGAAGTCTATAGACGTCGAGATCCACGGGGCCATCGAATCTGAAAGATGGAACTGGGGGTTTAGTTTGGCACAGTCGTTGGCCAAACCAGCTGGTTCTTTTTGTATCCTCCCTGTGTTTCGTCTGTCTTGTCAGGAGTATTGACAGGTCCCAACAATGAACTTAAAATAAGCAATTTCTGCTCTTAAATTTCGTGCAGGCTGTCTGTCTCCCAACGGGGGTCCAGTCCTCAGCTCCTTTGGGGGGAGGAGGATGTGCAACGCATTGCTCCAAGCTTGATGATGAAGCCCAGGAGCTGATGTTAGCTCAGTGTTTCTCAACCTTGGTAGCTTGAAGATGGGTGGACTTCAACTCCCAGAATCCCCCAGCCAGCGCTGCTGGCTGGGGGATTCTGGGAGTTGAAGTCCACCCATCTTCAAGCTTCCAAGGTTGAGAAACACCGTGTTAACTGAACAGCTCTTGTCCTAGCAGGCCAGGTGGGCTCCCGCCTCAAAGTAGAACTCCTCGGGAGTAAGCTGGTTTTGCTGGTTTCTGGAAGTTTGCCTTGACCCGTAGCGATTTAGTTTTATGTGGAGATTTCCACTCTCTTGCTTCTGGGTGGGTTTGTAGTTTTCTGCATCTCAGCAGAGTGTTGAATCTGGATGTGTCTGTCCCGTCCTTCCCCACCCTACCCCCGGTCCCCTCCTATTTGCTCAATCTTTGTGTCTGTTTCTGCTAGGCCAATAGCATCATCATGGATAACTCTGCTGCATGTTAAAACCGATCCATATGTTCAAGTTTTTAAAAATGTATTTGATGTTTTTATACTTAATCCATCCTTACATGGGGAAAAGTTCTGAGAAGTATATTGGTTTCTTTTTCTCCTGGGATTACCTTCTCCCTTCCCTTCCCTTCCTCATCCCTTCCTTCCCTTTATTCCCTTCCCTTCCTCATCCCTTCCTTCCCCTTCCCTACCTCATCCCTTCTCCTCCCCTCCCATTCCTTTTCTTCCTTTCCTTTCCTTTCCCTTCCCTTCCTCATTCTTTCCCTTCCCTTCCTTTTCTTCCTTTCCCTTCCCGTCCTCATCCCTTCCCTTCCTTCCCCTTCCCTTCCTCATCCCTTCTCCTCCCCTCCCCTTCCTTTCCCTTCCCTTCCCTTCCTCATTCTTTCCTTTCCCTTCCCTTCCCTTCCCCTTCCCTTCCTCATCCCTTCTCCTTCCCTTCCCTTCCTTTTCTTCCTTTCTCTTCCCTTCCCTTCCTCATTCTTTCCTTTCCCTTCCCTTCCTTTCCCTTTCCTTCCCCTTCCCTTCCTCATCCCTTCTCCTTCCCTTCCCTTCCTTTTCTTCCTTTCTCTTCCCGTCCTCATCCCTTCCCTTCCTTTCCCTTTCCCTTCCTTTTATTCCCTTCCTTCCCCTTCCTTCCCC